TTCTAAATATGAGTATCCTTTTGTGAGGCAATTATCTTTGTATTTATAGAGTTTGATAGTTTGGATTTTCATATGTCATGTTTTCTACAGAATCAAGAATGTTTCTGACTGTACTTTTGGGTTATTTAGTTGCAATTTTGTTTTAAAGAACGGCAAATAGTAAAAAATGTGATTAAACAAAGTAATGAGAATTTACAATTTCTTGTGTTAATCTTTACAGCCAAATTAATTACAACAGGCAAATTGATTTGGTCTCAGCTGGTAGGACATATCAAGAAAAACCAAACCTATAACTTTTCTCCATTCCAAAATTTCTACTTAAAAGCTTCTCTCCTCCTTGCTTTCTTTCCCATTTAATTAAATATTATTTACATCTTTATTATGAGATCAAAACAGTACAGAGGTGAGCAGTTCAGAACAAAATGTTAAAGACTGCTCCCCAAACTTTTGTGGGCATCTTTTTAGCCTCTCTCTCTCTCCATACATACGTTCTTGGCTTTCTGTGACTCTATCTCTATCCCATGTTTAAAAATTGTGGCATGCAGACCAAAGGGTCCTGGGTTCGATTCCCACTCAGGTCTCTCTTCCCTTTTCTCTAAAAATCAATGGGAAAAATTTGCTCAGGTGAGGATTAGCAAAACAAAAAACAACAGTCAGTCTCAAATTTTGTATGCCAGGTGTATAAGAAAGTTTATTCCACTTCGATGTTATCCTGTGTGGGGCAGGTAGCACAAATCCAACAAGTCACTATCAGTACAAATGGTAGCTTAATGGTACATGAAGTGAATTTTATCAGAATTCACAAGCATGTGCTAAAGTATCAATTCAAATCTATTCTTTTGGTAAGGAAATTGTTGTGAAACCTATTTGAAAATAATTTTGGTGTGTTTTACTTAGACTTTTAAAATGTGTATGGCTTAAGAAAATGTAATAATTCTAAAGGTATTTAAGAAATATTTCCAGAAACAGAAAGAAGAAAAACTGCTGGTAAATGTAGGCTTAATTGACAGCAGGAGAAAATGAGAATTAAAAATAACAGCAAGAACTAAAAGGGACAAAACTTTGTTACTCATGTAATCATTATGACCCTATTGGAAATAAAGGTCTCAGGATTGAGAAAAGATACCCTTAAAGCTAACTATCAGGTTCTTCTTTGAATCCTGATGGATATACAAGAAAAATATTTCAAAGATACTTTAGAAGTTGAGATAACAACTAGTTGACGGTGTACAAGACATGTCAATATCCCAAAGTGGAGAATCTCAGTCAGCACCTACATGCAGGCTACCTGGACCCAGGACCCTCAGGCAGCAGTCCCTAACGTATGCAGATACACCTCTTTCAGGGAAAACTGGCATTCTGTTTGCTCCCTCTGTATTAAGTCCTGGGGTCACAGCCAGTTAACTATTTCCTTTTGAACCTGTGAACACACGTCTGCTGGCTATCAGAGCCAGGCTACCAAAGGTGTGTCCTCTTGGCAGCAGCCACAAGGGACAGCGTCAGACGTGTACCAGTGCCTCACACTGGGGCAAGGCTGGGGCGAGGGAAGAGTGCTAAGTTGGTACCTGCCAGCCTCTCCATCCCTGGGGAAGACTGCAGTCAGCCACTACCTGTGTACTAAATTAGAAGCCTATCCCTCAAATCACAGGTTTTCAAGATCTGCAAATGGGTCTCTCATGAGATTAAGTAGTCTCAGTCTGCTGTCTCTGGAAGGGACAGCCACAGTGAATCTGTGTAAACTGGTTAAGAAGTGTTTCTTAGTTCACTCTATGAATTAGATTTCTATAAAACATGAAGAAAATATTATTTCCTATACAAGTAAAGGTTTAGAATATAGCCAAAGAAATCCAGGAATATATGCACCACTGCGTTCATTGCAGCATTATTTGCAGTAGCCAAGATTTGGAAGCAGGCCAAATGCCCATTAGTAGGTGAGTGGACAAAAAAGCTGTGGTACATTTACACAATGGAATACAATTCAGCCATTAAAAAAAGAAAATCTTACCTTTTGTGACAGCATGGAGAACATTATGTTAATTGAAAATTAGAGAAATACAAGTACCATATGACAACTTATTGTGGAATCTAATGATCAAAATAAACGAACAAAGTGGAGACTAACTCATGGATACACAGAACAGACTGACAGTTGTCAGAGGGGAGGGGAAAAAAAGAAAAAAGACTCATGGACACAGACAATATTTTGGTGATCGACAGAGGGAGGAGGTAGAAAAAGGTAAAGGGATAAATGGTGATAGAAGGAGACTTGACTTGGGATGGTATGAAATCTATGTAATTTTATTAACCAATGTCACCCCAGTAAGTTCAATTAAAAGTAAATATAAAGAAAAATCAGAAAAGGAGAGGAGAGAACCAAGATGGCGGCATAGGTTAACGCTGGAGATTGCTGCCTCGAACAACCAATTCAGGGACACACCTAGAAGACGGAACGGACATCATCCAGAACCACAGGAGGGCTGGCTGAGTGGAAATTCTGCAACTAGGAGGAAAGAGAATATCATACCCAGACTCAGAGGAGGTGCAGTGCTGAAGTCAACTACT